CTGCTGAAAATTGAAATTAAAGACAATTTACAGGGTTATTTAGGTTATTTAGAGACACAAAACACTTGAGATGACTATTGGCATAGATTTGCAGTTAGAGTGAGACAATTTCAGCTATCAAGGAGTAAACATATCAACTAGCACAAGAAATGGATCAGGATAACTTGATCAATAGCAAGAAGTGAGTGGTAAGAAAGTAAGTATATCAGATAACAAGAAATATGTTTGTAATTCTACACCCTTGCCTTTTCAGTCGGCTTCCTGATACGTCCACCCTGCAATCAGGACCCATCTAAGTCCTCAGGCACATCTGTCTCATTAGTAACCTTGTGAGTAACAGATGGTAATGTATCAGCCATTGCTGTGAATGCCCAAGCGATATCCTTGGTCATGTCTGTGTAGAACTCTTTACAGAGGCTCGGATCCACAGTAAGTGCCAACTTCCATATCCACATCATCATTACAATGAGATAGATGCCGTTTTTACCAGTCTTACATAGTTGACTCCAATCTTCCCCTGAAACAACTGTCTGAGAAAGTGGCCAGTCTACCCCTGAAATCTGACGTGACAGAGGCTGTAAACTTGCCCACCAATGGGAAGCCTGTTGCTGAAATATCCCAATGTCACTGACAGAGGGAACAGAATTGATGTCTAACATCCATGACCACATACTCATGTCAGTAGGGCAGCCTCTTGAGAGTCGTTTGTTCGAATACTGTAGAGATTAATGTATTAATAAGATTGTACAGTTATGAGAAAACTAACTTCAAAAACAATACCACAGTATTAATACACTGGATCTCTAACTTTGCCCACATTGATACTAATGACATCTTGTCAGCACTCATGAAAGCCTTGAGAATGCCTTGTATGTGCTCTTTCATCCATTTAGGGAGGACTGATATCTCCTCAGGAAGCAGCAGATCATCCACCTCTATTGGTACAGGCTGCTCAGAGACAGGTAGCAGGGAGGATAGAGTAGGCAAGGGTAATAGAGAGTGTACCTCAGCATTAAGTGATCCTTGAGGTACAGTAGTAGGAAAATCGAGCAAATACTGTACTGGCACCTGGACCTGTGTAAAATCATTTGGTACTGCTTTGCTATAATCGTGAGGTAGTGGTGGTGCCCAAGAGCTAATAGGAGGTAACCCATCACCAATGTCATTCACAGCCATGTCTGCTGAAGTCATTCCAGTTACAAATGATGCAAATTGTTCAAGGGTGTCCTGACTAAGAGGATTTGTCTGGTCAGTATTAAACGCCTCACTATGTCACACTGTCAGTGCAAAACTTGTATTAACAAAGGGGAATACACTCACAACATTGATAAGTCCGGTTCTATACTTTGCTCCAGAGTGTCTGGAAGCAAAAGTGAACTGCTGAAGGATTGAAAGTCGTCTGAGAGCTCAAATGAACTCCCTGAGCAATGCTGAGAATTGACCAGTCCATCAAGCAAAGAAGAACTGTCTGTTTGAGTGGTTGGTGTGCCTAGCAGAGACACTTCGTGTGTTGGACAAGCTACCAACCCTGATGCTAGTGGAGACACTTCAAATGTTGAAAGAGCTACTGACCCTGATCCGTTGATAGAATCAAAGTCAACAATGTCCATTTGAACTTCTTCAGCTTTGATATTAGATCCGCATGGCTCTGTATCAGCATTTGGGTAAGTACATAGCTTCAGGGAGCATGCATGGATTTCTGCATCAGCTAAATAATGTTAGTTTGTCATTCAAAAAATAGTTCTGAATTATTACTCACTGAAGCATTGTTCTGCAAATTGCTTAAATGGTTTGCACACATTTGTTTCAAAGTCACCAAAATTGTTGTAAAATTCTGGAAATGCTTGGTTGCTTCCAACAGTCCTTCTGTTTGTAATACTTGAAATCGAGTAGTAAGTATTTGTACCATTCATGACAATATAAGTTGACTAATGTGCATGTAAGTAGTTGCCCATTGTGTGCAGGCTCTGGACCAGCAGCAATCATATAGACAACCATTCTGCTCTCCTCAGTAATAGTGGTGCAGAGCTCCTTCATTGTGAGTTGGATGTTTGACATCAAGCTATAGGTTCAGTATTAGCATATATTGAGTATAGACGATCAGAACTCACTGCTGCCTGTTATGAGCAGCACTAAGATGCTTGTGCTCTTCCAGCAGCAAGTGCTCTTCTCCTGGCAAAGGTATCTCCTTGGGAGCACTCTCGTCCAACACATCTTTGAGATACTTTTGTACTTCTTCCTTCACCTTGTCAGACTCCTCATCATATAGCTGTGAAACAATCCTATTACAATGTTTCAGATGATCTTGGTTGGTCAGGGAGCTATTGTTCTCCTTCTCAATGCTCCAGAGTGTGTCGACCTTCTTATGCAGCTTCAAATCGTAAAACAGCCGCAAATATACTTGCAACTCGGTGGGGTGGTAGGATCTCTTGGTTCTGTTTCCAGAGACAAGCTGCTGTACTGCTTTACAGACAACAGCTTTGTGCTGAGTTAACTTCTTGCTGTGTGCACTGTTATGATTCTGAAAATACGTTTGTATTTGCTTCAAGGCATCAGATCCTATTCCACACAACAACTTGCACGTAACTCACTTTTATGCATGCCTCTCTTACTATGTTGCTGGTGCATGAGAATTCTGTAAGATAAACTGGAACTACCATAGTCCTGATGTAGACTGCTGGTCCATTCGTGTGCTTAGATCCTTTTGACACGTCTCTCACTCTCTCAAATCCATCAATGAGTGGATCCAAGAGTGCTTTCTCAGCACTACTGAATACTGATTGTGCTGGCATTGAGTCTTGCAACAAGAAAGAGATTGATATGCAAAGAAGAAGCAAGAGTTTGCAGGGCAGGGAGAATTGTCAAGCAAAGTATAGACACTCTGAAATGTACAAATCTCAATGGTTCAAAGCACAATTTATAGGATAATGCTTCAGATACTTGGAGCTTATTGTCGACTACTACTTACTCTCGTATACTTCCCCTCAAAGATCCTCAGAAGAGTATTCTCAGTGTATTTCAGTTCCTAAACAACCTAAAATAGCACATCTACTATTCTCATTGTCAGTGAATCCAGGCAAAATAATGTTATTGACAGATGGAACGAACAATGGAAAAGTACATAACTGTATCTATCTAATGTATTGTGAATCTATTTACTTGGCTCAAAATGACAGAGAACTATTGGAGTTTTCAATTACAGGCTATTTTCATGTCTCTAACTCCTTATCTTTTTCTGGCAGGCCAATCTGAAGTAATTTCGTTAGTATTTGTCCAACTCACTGTCAAGCATACAAGAATATGTTGTGTGGATCCCATATTTCGATTTCATACCTGAGTGACAGATTAGCTTGGAATAGCAACAACACACCGAGATGACCGATATACTCATTGATTGAGTATTATAGCATGCATTGATTGATTTATGAGGTCTTACACTTTGAGCACTGTTAGAAATGAGTGAATCAATGATTCTACACAAAAACAATGATTGAATAGCAAGATGCAGTGGAGCCTTCCTTCTCGATCATGACAGTGCCACTCCATACCTCCCTGCCAAACACTCCAATGATCGAATTCTCAGATATTCATTCATTGGTTTGTAGTAGTTTCAATGATTAAAGTCCACAGCTTTGAATGATTAACTGGTAGGAAATTCAATGATTCAACTTTGAATATGCAATGATTGAATTGTACATTCAATCATTGACGCACATGTATCTGTGATCTACAAGTCTACTTGTCCTAATAGTATAAAAGGCTCTGGAAATTTTCTTTAAACAACACTCAAAGGTCTTTCTTCCTCCTCGTCTTCTCCTCCTCCCTCCTCCCCTCGACATCTGCTGTATCCTAGCCTCTACTTCTCTCTATATCTTTCTCAGTCCTTTGCTTCTGTTACTGTTGTAGTATCTCTAGCTTTCTTAAAGATACTCGACCTGCAGACTGTGTATCTGTCTTAAATACACTATTAGTGAGTTCTTTCTTCCTCCTTCCCCCTCCTTAACATCCACTGCCTATCCTAGCCTCTACTCGTCTCAATATGTTGCTCAGTCTTTTACTTTCATTACTCTTACAGTCTCTTTAGCTTGCCTGACAATATCTGATCTGCAGCCTGTGTCTCTGTCTCAACAACACTATCAGTGAGTATATTCACTTACAATTTCCTTTTACTCTAGTATCTGTATAGTTTAATACAACTTCATATTAGAGTGAGTATCTTACTATTACACTGTTGAACTATTAAAAAGCTTTTTTCTAGTTTATTATGCCAGATACTTCTGATACAACAGGTCCTGATGCTTTTGCAGCTTATGTCTTAATCCTTGTTTGGGTTATCAAGTTCATTTCACAATGCTTGCCTGCATTTGCCAAAGCTATCAACCAATGTTCTACATCAGCTACTACAACTCCCTATGATAATTCTCCATTGCCACACGAAGACCTAGACTGTAAAGCCTCTCAAAGATGGTATACTGTTTTTGTAGGACGAGACATTGGTGTATTTTCCAGCTTGTAAGTATGTAGCCTTATATTACTCTCTAAGACTGACTTTATTTTATACTTAGTGCTGAAGTTCAAGCTTGTACATCAGGCGTTCCAGGTCATTGTTTTCGATGGTATTATACTTATAGTGCTGCAAAAGATGCATTTGACAAAGCAAAAGCATCTAATCAGGTAAAACTTGTAAACAAGTATGATCTGGTTAAAGAACATGATATAGACGAGTAATTACATTGTTTTCATTTATTTCTAAAGCTGACTACTATGTTAAATTCTTTTTTGCAGAGGTTCTAATAAGGAGAATATTGATCACTCTTTGTAAGTACACACTCTTTTAGGTATAAATTTACTCAAGTTTGGATAGTCATAGCAATAATGTACACAAGAAGCCATTCCTAGCTTTAGGTAAATGTACACTAGATTCAAATTCGTAAGTACTACTTTCTACTACTTATACTTGATACTAATTTCTAAATGACTTTACTAGGAGTGTTATTGAGATCTTTACAACAGAAAGCGAAAAGTAAGTGTTGAATAATTTAATTAATTAACGAAATTTATTAACTGTACAAATAAAACAGGTCAATTAGTGAGCCTGTGTGTAGGATCCAGCAACAGAATGATAAATTGTAGTCAAACGTAAGTATACTATTACTTTATCATATATAACATTTTTAACCTTGTCTATCTTGATTTAAAACTCTTAGTCTTAGTCTTAGCTTCATCTATCTTGAATTCACGTTTTCTATTTATCAATCCTTGATATACTGTTTTAACTTGTATGTGTATAGGTTTTCCCTCCAACTGAATATGAATTCTAATATGTCCTACTTTTAGCTTGCTAACAGATTTTAGTATTTAGTAGAC